TACCGGCTGACACCCCACTTTTTGGGGGGGAAGCAGGGCCAGCCACTATTCACGTGAATAGTAACTGCCCTAGGGCTCCCCTTGCCATGACAATGGGCTAACTGGTGGAAGTGCTCTTAGCAGATGACACTATTTGCATCCGGGTCATAAGCTCTTAGAGCATCCGCAATGGAGATGTGTAAACGAGTGTAAATTTGCATCACCATCATGAGATGCAAATTTAGATGCACATATATATCTTTTTTTACATCTCTTGCAGGTGTGACCTACATGAGAAAAAGTGGACAAAAATAGGACCTACAACAAAAAATGTGAAAGAAATCAATTATACATCTTCCCAACTAGAGCAAAAATTACATTTACAACCCCCGGATGTGTAAAGGGGATGTAAAAGTGACTTTACACCCCCCAAAAATACACCCTCCTACTATGGACGCTCTTAGCACATGACACCCTGTGGAGGAGGAATGATTCATATATTTTTATAATTAACCATGCGGCGTGGCATGATTTAGATAACGAAATGCTATGATGTATTTCATATATCAGCATCAGCAACCTTCAAATTCAAAACAACTGCACGCTTAGCTGGAAAAATGAAGGATCGATTCGTTGACTTGCATTTTATATCTCTCCAAGAATCGTTGTATTGAGCACCTAGCGTTGACTTATTGAACCTTCCTAATCCACCCCTCCCCATGTTCTGAATCCCACTTGTAGTTTAGGTACTTACTTTAAAAATATTTCTGTAAAAAATTACTCTATTGAAAAACTTTAAAACACTGTAAACTTTGTGCCTCCTCCTATGACGTATACCACTTACCTAAGCAGCAACCCTCCAAAGTCCAAAGTCAAAACAATTGCATGTTTTTTTTCGTCGGATTGCTTCGCTGGAAAATTGAAGATGCCAATTCGAAGCATTATTGACTTGTACATACATATCTCCTACAATCGGGATTTTGGGCGCACCAAGCATTCACTTATACAACCGTCCTAGTAAACATTTCACATGATTTTTATCTAACGCACAAGTAATTGTAATCACTTAAACATGCATCCGATTGGAGAGTAGGGATAATCCAACTCCACTCCTCTTCCAACCAGTCATATAATTGACTGCGATATATATTAGTAGCAAATTATTAAGTAGATTTTTGTTTTTTAACAAACAGAAGGTATTCACAACAATATAATTCATCCACAACAAACTTACGACATAATCAACTAATCATAATGAAGTGTTGAACTCATCATAAATATATATTATCATCTCATTCATATGCGTCTAACAAAAGATCTTCTTCTTTGGCCAAAAAAAAAAAAACCATGAGATCTCCTTTAACCAAATGGAAACAACTACCAATATAGTTAATTCATTGACAAAAAACAAAAGATGTTTATATTCAACTCTTCGCAAATTGGAGACATTTCTAAGTATTTGGTGTGTGAATATATATTGAGGGATGACTCAAATAATTTTATTTGAGCGACACATTATGGGACCCACTAAAAACTTTATTTCAACAATATGAACCGTTTATTTTTCTAGTCTCTTCATTTATAGATCATCCTTGCAAAAAATTAGACAAATAGGAAATGATTAAGACATTTAGTTGTGACCAACAAAATCGACAAACATGATGCTTAAAAAAACACTATAATATCAACCATTTAATTGAATGGTCGAATGGATTGATTCAAGTGAATTTTGCATATATGATCTTTGAAGGAATACCTAAAATTAGATCATTGAAATACAATGTGGAGTGATTTCCATAAGGTGTATTCTGCCAATAAATTTATTTGAGGGAGTCTGCATGTATTATATAGGACTTGATAAAATGAATTTTACATTCCTCAAGTGAGATAACAAAGTCCACCCAGAAAAATTAAATAATCAATATAACTAATAAATCAATAAATAAAGGATAGATGGAGAAGGAAGAAAGCTGATAGTGATCGGAAATCCGGATCCCAACTACTTCCAAAACTCTTCATCGCCTAGAAGAGACCGAATCCGGTGACTTATCACCAAAACCAAAACCCACCCGCATTGAACCGGATTTGAAAACATATGTTTTTGAAAACTAAGCAAAATATTACTGGTTCAGCTCATTGCCTTTATCATTGTTTTTATATGTTAATGATTGAAATTATAGGATGGCCCAACAGATTACAGAACAGAAACCCTAAACCCCCTTTTACCATAAGAAATTCAGAAAGTACAAAAATAAAAGAAAAGAAAAGCAGGAACTAATAATGAAAATTATTATTGGAGTTTGCTAGACAATACACTCAAATATATTTATTACTACATCAGCACACAAAATCACTATAATAAGTTGTGAAGGGAAATTGGAAAATCAGAAGATTCAATCTCTCGAGACATTTCCTTATTCTGAAGGTCCCTTTTGCCTCCATACAGTTGTAAAAGCACACATATAATAGTAATAATATAATTGTAAAAGCATCAACCAGCAAGTATTAGCTAGCGAGGGTGAATGGCGTAGTGTGTCTGTGTCACAGTGAGACCGAAAACGACAGCTGCAGCCAAGAATGCAATGAAACTCCACGGACTAGAGAAATATGTGACATAAAGGGACTTCATATATCTCTTAAGTCGCACCATCCAAAATGCTTTGAATCTGTGCCAGTGATGAAACTTACTTGACTTACTATATTCATTCACATCGTCGCACAACTTGCCAAAGCAGAAGTGCTTCAGGTTAATATGGTCTAAAATACTTTCGAAATCAACATAATATTTTCCTCCTGCAAAATTTTCATGTATGATCCCTTTTTTCTTGAGTAGTTTGATATCCTCTTTGGAACGTATGAGGCTCTTCATAACGATGACATACGATGTAATGTGATGTGAACTCTTGAGATGGCATTGCTCGAAAGCTATCAGGTTCCGGAAGAGTGAATCTGTTGTGTCGTCAATGAACAATGGTGGAATTTTGATTGCTCCATGATTAAAATTTATGCTCAACAACTGGCCGTCGGCTGACCCTATTTCAAACTGGACTCCAATATCATAAAGGTCTGAAGCGCAATACTTGAATTTATTCTTTTTTTTCTTGCTTGCTGCTTGGCTTAAACTTGGGCGGAAGAAGTTGTGCAAAAGATGAAGTAAATGCTGGCTGTCTTCAGTGTCCGTACCTTCTTTTATTGCCTGTTGGTTGCTTGGCTTTGCAGGACCCCCCATTTCAATGATATGGCCCAAACTTGGGGGGAAGAAGTTGTTGCAAAGGTGAAGCAGCAAATGCTTGCAGCCTGCAGTATCCGTATCTCGTGTTATTTCCTGTTGGTACATAGGTTGAAAAAACTTGAGAGCCAGGGTAGCGACCGAATCTGGCGGTGTATATTTCACTATGTGAGGACGGATAATGCGATACAATTCTTCGAGAATAAAGAAAGGGATCTGGTTTTCAAGTAATGTCAGATCATGCCTAAGTGTTGGGAGCATCCAAGCACTACTGAATATTGGATCATTAGCTTGGTCGCAGGATTGGTGATTCTTGAGGAAAAGTTGCAATATGAAGCAACCGTCAACTAACATCATTTCTGCAAGATCATGCTCCTTAATATTTGTGAGATCTACAGCATAGCTTTCACGAACTTTTTTATTTAAAGGGTACTTCCCTGAACCATAAAAGGCATTGGTGCACTTTTGCAAGCATTCGATAGTATTTATGACGCTGTCTGTTTGCTGGAAAATGAGGAGCATGTAACGCCATTTATGTTCTTTCATAGCTAAAAGGTTAGGATTATTGTTTCGATGGAGAGGTCCAATAGAGACAACGCGAGGGTTGTATGCATCATGCTTCACTTTTCGAAGTTTACTTGGAACTCTGTAGATGCTCAAGTGCTGTGACCCTTTTTTCACCTTTTCAAGCTTGTCCGAAAGCCCCCTCGCCCACAGATCACTATCGAGTATCTCCTGGGCATCCTGTTTTGAAAGAGAAGAGGAAAAGAAAATGAGTTATATTTGTAGGTACCTCTACTAGAGATATATTATTTCCAACTTTACCTATTGATGAGTGGATTCTATAGGTATATTACATGGAGTAGAGGTGCATTAAAAAGGTAATTTACCTGTTTGTTGGCTATGGAGTTGCTTTTAACAAATTAATTGAAAGTTATAAGTATTTAATTACCTGGATTATAGGTAATTTTACGAACATAAAAAATAGTGAGAAACAACTAAAAAACTTGATGAAGCTTAGCTAGAGGTAAAGAGTACAAGTGGGCAATTTAAACGGCAAATCTTCACAAGCACATCAACAAAGTCATGAAAAAAGATTGAGCTTAAGAAGGAAAGAAAAATATTTTAACCAACGTGAGTGAGAAATTGAATTACTAAAGAAGGAAAAAAAAATTAACATTAGAATCAATTGCAACAAAATAAGTAAATATATAAATAACAAAGAAATGTAATGATTAGAACCAATTTGGGGTTCCTATCTCTCCTTTTTTCCCCTTTCTTTCTCTCCCGGATCTCTTCTCTATTTCTTTTCAGCTCTTTAATATATAGTTACCTGATCTGTCATCTCAGCAGATTTGCCTAAGGGGAATGCTAGCAACCTTCTCTCTAACCTTCTCCTTTGAACCTTCTCCCTTTTCCTCATGACATGTGTCACTTTCCTTCACTTAAAACGATGTAACTAATGCATCAAACAAACTAACATTTGTTTTCCAAGTTTACCCTTATTAAATGTTTTGTCATTCAATTTGTTCAAAAATAATTGTACAACTCTCTTACCATATGTAAACAATTAAATAATAAAAAATGTCAGTTAAAAAAAAAATGTCTATCTTTTTCAGAGATAAAAATTCTATTTTTTTAAACACAAAAGAATGACCTAAAAATACACTCAATAGAAAGATCACATTTTTATACAAAAAAAAGACTTCCTTCAAAAGGAAGTTCATTAATTGCATTTTTTTATACTACTAAATAAAGTTAAAGAGAATTTTCAGTGACAACTAAATATATATATATATATATATAACCCCAAATAATCAGATTCCATAGGAAGTTCATAGTTTTATTTATAGTTATTATATCCCTTGCTGCCTTTGGAGTTTGATTATTTGAAGAAAAAAAAATCCCCAAAATTCTGGCATACCAAATTTTAGATTTAAACCAATGTCTCTCCTTACTCCCTTTGGAATCTTTCAGGCAACAAAAAATAAAAGTAACGTTTTTTCTTATTTAATTTTTAAGTCTTATTTGAATGTCTCATTGCCTTTAGAGTTTTTTTTTTTAATAAAAAAAAACGTTTTTTCTTAATTAATTTTTAACAAGGTGGTAAGAAGTTTGTAAATTTTTTTTTTTGAATAAATTAAAGAAAACAGTAAAATCAATATATTTAATAAGGGTAAAATTGGAAAACTAATGATGGCTTGTTTGATGCATTAATTATATTATTTTAAGTGTAAGGAAATGGACACATGTCATGAAGAAAGTGGAGAAGGTTCAAAAGAGAAGGTTGAAGAGAAGGTTGCTAGCATTCCCCTTTGCGTAATACCCTGCGACCTCGAATATGCTTCCCAAGGGACAGAAGATTGTCTTTTATAGGGCATCCATGAAGAGATTAAGAACAATATAGAAAGACCGCACCAGTAATCCCATCCCCAAGTGGGCCCATATGCACAGTCAGAAATTGGAGTAGAATGGCGTGACAATGTATCAAATCAGTTTTCTAAAGATGTTTACTTGTACCTAACACAAATTTGTTTGTATTCGTGATTCAATCAGTGAGACGAGTACACAATCTATTCCTTTTATTATGGTAAAGTCTCAAGAAAATAAATGGTTGAATATTTTGTTGTATTAAATAAATGTCAAATAGGAGACTTGGTGTTACTTAATTCAAAGAGATTTTTTGGGTTCCGGGTCTCTCGAAAGGAGAGTTAGATAGGGTTTTAGAGTGGCGCCTAGGGTTTTTCCTCCGTGCCGGCACAAGAACATTTTTCCTTGCATTAGACGCATGATCACACAACGGCAAGAACGATGGAGGAAATTGAACATCGTTTTGGTTCGAACCTGTGTCTCTATGAGAAGTGAGTGGGTATTCAAATTGCAGAGGAGGAGTGTGGGGATTTATGGAAAGGATCACAATTTACTATGGTGACTAGGGTTTTAACCAATCAAGCTGTTCATAGGGAGGGGTTCATTGGTGTGTTTTCTCGGCTTTGAAGAGGTTTGGATGGAGTCACTATCAAAGAGATTGGGGACCGCCGCTTCCTGGTGAGGTTTTCCAACAAGCAAGATAAACTGAGAGTTCTAAACATGGAACCATGGACCTTTCATGAAAGTGTGGTGGTCCTAGCTGAAACACGTACGTGTATGGATGCTAGAGAGGTGGAACTACGTCACAGTACTTTGTGTCAGCTCCATGGCATCCCCCTCTTTAACATGACAATGATGGTTGCGCGGAAGATTGGATCACTTGTAGGACGGGTTTTGGAGGTAGATTAGGCAGAGAGAGAGGAATGCATAGGCCGGTTCTTATGAGTTCATATTCAACTTGATGTCGAACAGCCTTTGATGCGAGGTGCCTTTGTCCAATTCCCCGACTAGGGCTTGAAGTGGGTGACTTTTTGGTACGAACATCTCCCGGAGTATTGTTTCGTTTGTGGGTGTCTTGGGCATCCTAGTCGTACTAGTGTGAAGAAACTCATGAAAGACCATTTACTAGAGGAAAGTAAGAAGAAGGTCTTAAGAACTTTTGCAAGCCTCGAGGCTGAGGAGGATTTACGAGGTCGGCGGTTACGTCCCGGGGGTCGAAGTGGATCCCGATGGGGTTCCTGGAGTGGTGGTCCCAATTTAGGAGGAAGATGGCGTAAAGATTGATCCAGTAATTTAGGGGATTTGTCGGCGCCAATGTAGGGAGGTGTACATTGAGGCAATGGCACCCAATCTTTGCCGGAAGGGGTGGAGTTAGAAGATACTCCATCCTCTCCTAGCTAAACACTATCCCATGCTTCCTCTCTGGCAGCCAGAACCTATTTGTTGAGGGAACAAGAACAAGCCTGAACAACACATTCGAGAAGAAGCATGGAATACTGGAATGTTTGCATGTCGAGATGAGAGTAATATTGCCACTTAGGAGGCATTCGGCTACTAAACTAGGCTCCATTATAGAAAAGACCATGCACAGATCGATTCACGGGAAGAAACGAAGGAAAAATAAATGAGACTATGCTGAGATTACTCTAGATATGGACACTGCGACAAACTATGAGGTTGTGCCAATGCCTAACATGAATGTTAGTGGTGGGAAGAAAGCACAACGATGCCTGAGTCGGAATATAAATGATGATATGCTGCAAGTGGTAGAGACTGGCCAAAACAGGTCTTCACGGGCTCCATGAAAATCCTTGTATGGAACTGTTAGGGTATCGAGGATAACCTGACAGTTTCAAGTCTTAAAGAGCAAGTGAAGCTCTATACTCCTGACATGGTGATGCTCTTGGAAACTAAAACTAGGAGTCATCGCTATGGTTTTCTCAAGAAGGGCTTAGGAATGAATTTAGACAGGACCCGCCCCGCAATTTCCTCGGAAACTGGGACAAATCTAGTCTTGTTACTGACATTATCCCGATACCGGGCCCACTTACTAAAAACTGAGACTTCCTACCAAAAATTTGGCAAAGTCCCCCTTGTAAATTGAACAATCCCAAAAATTTCAACCTGCAAAACAAACAAAATACTAGTCCCAACCAGCAGCATGCAATCAACATTCAACAGTTTACACTAAATGGCCTCTGGCCTCACAAGTAAAATCTAACATGGGCAATAACAGAGCATCTAACAGATTTAGTTTACAACAACAACCAGTTGAGTAAAAGAAATTACTCGAAGCCTAACTACTGAAGTTCACAAAACTAGCCTCGAACACAACTGGCAGCTCTCCTTGAGCGACTACTGTCTGGGGGCAAAAAACAGAAAACTTGTGAGTGGACAAAAACAAAGTTTGCATTTAAAACAACATAATAACCCCACCGTGTAAAAATAATGCCCAAAGCATGTAGATTTAGAACTCATATTTAATATTCAAAACCATTAATCTCTGAAACCCTTTAAAACCACAAATCACTCAATCCACTGCATATACTCTAATTGCTTTACACTCACACCTATATATAGATATAATATATAAAAATATCAATATACAATATACTCATCACACTACCTAGGTACCGGGGAAACAATCCAACCGGGGGATTGTTTGGCTAGCCCGCAGGATTTTCAGGTGTTATCCTGCGTCTAGGAATGAGTGGTCCATCCGGGGGACGAAACTCCATAGCTCACACGCCGAAAATTTCAACGTCACGTGTAGCTCCAATACTAAGTCCTACGCGCACAGACTACATCATCACACACTAGAACTTCCAACGCCATGTGTGATGATTTCAAGCAATATACATAATCTTCCCATACGCCGGAAATTCCAACGCCACGTATGGGAAGTGTCTCACACGCCGGAACTTCCAACGCCACGTGTGAGACTAATAATCACATGTTCTTCCCACTAGCCGGAACTACTAATGCCACATGTGGGAAGCCTAGTAATTAGGGGATGGTACTTACATAGTGTAATCATACATCCTCTCTCAACAACACCTCATACTCAAATTCTTCCACAATCTCACCTCAACAACCCAAGTACCCCACACATTGACAATATAGATAGAATTTCTCAAAAATCCATATATACATACTCAAGATCTTAAATATATAATATATCAAATACACCATTTAAAACATTATGCACAAATCTTTCATCAATAAAATCATGCATATGATTTGAAAACAAAGTCCACTCACAAATAGTCCCAAGCTGCCTGACCCTGAGAAGGTCCTGCCTACTGTGTACGATCGATCGGAGCACCTAATTCGAGATACGAACCCTTAATTAATATAACATCACTTTGAAACAGAAATCACAAATTAAATACTTAAATCCCCAAGTTCTCGGTGTGTGTACGTATAACGAGATATCCTAAGGTCCGACTATGGGTTTAGGAATTACGTCTTGCAGGCGTGATCCGAAATGGATGGTCGAATCGCTCACAATTGAACGGTTATCGTAAATCCCAACTTTGAATTAGTGAATCGGAACATCTGGGGCTCCAATTCACGATCCGTAAAATCCTACACGATTCTAAGAGTGCCTTGATCAACATACTTTAATTGGAAAACGATCCAACGATCAGAACCTATCGAACCCGAAATAACACACAATATGCGAAATCCGTTCGATAGTCAAACACCATTCTAATTGAAATCCGAGCACACCTACGCGCTCGTGGCAACACAAGGATTATAACAGGATAGAAATGTGACCTTACCACATGGCCCATGCACCGGCAGCGAGTGGGTGTGTAGAGTAATTTCCGGCGACGGAGAAACTCCACACCACGATTCACCCTTCCTACCCTCGCTACTACTCTAGACGAGGATCACTTTATTCAACTACGAGGAGGTCCAATTCGGACAGCAACCGGCCGAAATTTCACTTCGAAATCTGGCCAAAACCTA